ACTTCAGGTTTTTATTTGTTGTTAAAGCTGCTCCTCATTTCTCCAGCAGCCGTCTTGCTTGAACCATAAGTGCTGTGTTTAACATAGCCATAGCACTATAATAAGCGTCTGTGTTTGCCAGGCATAAGAAGGGTTTTTGCAAAGATAACCGCTTGGTGTAAGTAGGAGAGAATATGTACCAATAATGCAGATGTTGTGGTTTGCTTATGGGGTAGGATGATCCACATACACGTGCTGTTCTTCTGCCACCAGCTGCAGAAATGACTACTGGTCCATTCTGCTAGATTTTCTCCTTACCCAGCTGCTTTGCTTTGTAGTCCTTGGGGTGTACAAGTCTCAGGAGGCTACATTTTGTGCCTGAGTGTCCTTAATTTAATGTTTAGGGGCAACTGTTCTTTCCTGGCTTTGCTAACTGCAGCAACTTGACAGAAAAGCATGAATTTTTGTAAATTGTTTAAGGATCTTTTCCCTCCCTGTATATATAAAAAAAAACCTATTAAAATAAACATGCTAGGAGCTGTAATAAGAGGACTTTGTTACCTCTCAGAAGTTGTGGCCTGATGCTGTAAGTGGAGCTGTCAGTGGGGCTGTCTGGAGAGATGGAGTCAGTTCTCTGGTGAGCATTTTGATGGTCTGGGATACACTGGTGTATGTTACCCACTTTCCTGAAGAAATTCACACCCTGATGTTTGGGATCACTGGAGAAAGGAACAAGGACAGCTAAAACCAACACGAAGCTGGTGAACAAGAATTCAGTTAGTCGAACCGTACCCAAGGATACGGCCCTGGAGTCAAGAGAAACTTGCTGTGCAGCCTGGGAATGTAAAAACTGTCTGGTTGTGTCAGGAGATTGTGCTTCCAGGGATCAATTACTGCTTTTTAATTACTGCTTTTCCCCTACAACTCCTAATCTCTTGTATTTAGGTTTGCATTGATCGTTAATCAAATTTCAGAGCAGGTGACTCTACAGAGCAGCAGGTTATTTCCATCTGCCGGGTAAGGCTGGGTTTGCACTGGCCAAGCTGAAAAGGGCACTGTCACCTATTTTATCTTGGCAGTAGGTAGCTTTTTTGGTTTTGTGTGACAGCACAGGTAAGAAGCTTGAAAACGAAATCCCTTTCTCTAATAGCCCTTGTCACTGTCTAGGAAAGCAGCAGGCAGGAGGCATCTAGTTTGTACCTCCTCTCTCTGCCCCAGCCCTATTTTTGGTATAGCAAAGCTGAGCTCAGGGGACAGGTAATATTTTAAGAGTCAGCAGCCAGGACTCACTTTCATGGTTGCTTATCTTTTCCAACTAACTCTTCAGGTATATTTATTTCTTAGTAATTTCAATGGAATAATTGTGGAAAAATGCAAAGGACAATTTTACAGTTTCAGTAATAGCTTAGATGAGGCTGCGCCATCACTGCGGAACCACTGTGGCTTTCACCAAAAACACCTCCCTCTGAAATGATGTATGACTCAAACCGGGTGTTGCTTCTTAATTGGTGTTAGCAGCTGGAGAAACACTGTGCAGATCCTGCAGGTTCCTCTCCTCTGTTGCAGACCATTTCCTTAGTCTGTTTTTATATTAATTACTGACCATATCTACAATGTCTAATTCATACAACACCAGAAATCTTATTAATCTTCCTTTAGGAGCGCCCTGGTGGGAAGCATGTACAAACCTGCACGCGCATCCCAGGTGCAGGGAGGGCCCTTGCTGGGGTTCGGAGTGTTGCTCTCCTACTGGCTATGGACCAGTAAGATCTAGTACACGTGTTTATTTCTGCATGAAAATTCTCTATTTAATATTGAAATGATAATTGTGATACTAATAAAACTTTAAAGGAAAAACTGAGATATGAAATTCCGTACGTCGTGAGTTTGGGTTTTTTGTCCTTCAGTGCTGTCAAACTTACCAAGGAATATATCAAACAAACAAAAGTAAGAGCAGTTTTGTTTGAAAAGATCGTGAACAGTTAAAGTAAGCTCTCTCCAGCAAGCAGTGGTAGCAGAACAATCCCTTAATAAATCTTAAAAATGAAGTATACATTTATTGGGCTTAAAGTTCCAGATGAATCAAATATACATTCAAAATTTAAATTGTGTGATTAGTCTCCTTAGGGAGGAATGTGGGAATCCTGAGTAATGCAAGGACTTGGAACCATATTTTAAAGGTGAGCGTCTAATTAGTAGAGTGGTGCAGTGAATCTGTTTTGAAACATATTATTATTTGTCAGGAGAGAACTTGGATCTTCACACTTCTCACATAAACAAAGGGAATCAGTCTTTGGCATGCTTGAAAATTTGGTAAAGGATCAGTTACAGTTTTGCTTAATACGGTGTTAAGTTAATGCTTAATCTCTTTTCTGACTATATTACGAAGTGAATGGGGTCTGCAAGACAAACCCATGCTTTAGATTCCAGCTTGTGCCAGAACGGCTCCTCTTGTGTGCGTCTGGTCTGCTTGTCCGTCCCAAGTGTCCCCTCCAGATGGGAGAGGTGAGAGGAGGGGATTTTTCTTTCAAAAGAACTTTTTCAGCTATCGGAGTTATTTATACTGACTGGCTACCTGAAAGCAGGGGTATAAAGGATTGGGTAACGATTTCATTATATGATGTTTTATAGCAACCGGTATTCAGCTTTATAAATGAACTGTTCTCTTCTGTATGGCAGAAAAAGGTTTTTATAGTTGGCAGGCTGCTCGTAATATTCTAAGGATTATTAAAGTAAGCTGTAGTTGTCGTATAATGCACATTATAATAGCGAGTGGTTCTACATTAATAAGTCTTGGGGGAGGATATTATTTCAGAATGTGTATTCACATACGGATGGAATTTGAGTCTTTTCACCCAGATCAGAATGACATTCACAGAAAAGGCCCCTGGACCATCATCCCAGTGAGTTCCTTATGAGTAATAAAGTAGTGAGAAGAGAAAATTTCATAAAATTCATTGGAGATTTTGCAAAAAAAACCCCAAAAAGGATGTTGGGGTTTTTTTTCCTCACCTCCTGACTTTACATCTGTAAGCTGAAGTTGTTCTTGTCTAGATTAGTTATTTAGGCTTCCTGCTAAGCACCTCACCTTGGAGATGAGAAAACTGGGAGGCAGCAAGGCTGAAAGATGTGTATAGTGACGGTGAGCATTGTAATAGGCAGCAATGTTATGTTGCAAGGCTGTCAGAGCTGCAGAAAGGCCAGGCCACTTTCTGGATCAGTGTTTGAGGGCTGGTGAGCAGTAAAGCGTATGTGGCCCTGATGCAGCTGTATGTGAACCAGTACAGCTGCTTTCAGACAACACGTTTCAAGACAGACATTTGCATATCGAAGGGATTTCAAAAAGCTGTGGGAACGGCTGGGGAAATTCAAATTGAACTGTTATGTTTGCATTAATTAATTAGGCAGCAACCGCAAGGAGTGTAAGTGCTATACCTACTGACGTTAAAAAAAGAAAAAGTAAGAAAGACTTAGGATAAACATAGCTAGGAAGACGTTTGTCTCCTTTGTTGGACTGAATTAACAGATATGCTGTTGATCTAGTGTTAAAATGCAAATAAATATCCCAGAGAGGCACACTGAGAGCATTGCATTAGATGAGGAAGAAAATTCAGAGATGGAAATGGAACAAAGCAGTAAATAGTGGAAAGCAGGTGGCTGTAGACAGGATCTCGGGGACAGCAGTGAAGCTTTAACCTCTGGAACTATTAGACGTTACAAATTATTTATCTCACCTTTGACCTTCCTGAAAGGATAATTTGTGCATGTTGGTGCAATTACTAAAACCAACAAACAAACAAAAGCTCTGATAACATACTGCTGATATGTGGCGCAGAAGGATCTTAAAATAATCTTTATCCAGGGATTAAGAGTTTCTGATCTACCACTGACCTGTTTTCAGAGTATTACAAATGCGTTGCACTTGGCAAAAACAAGATGAAAATGCTGTAAAACAAGAGAAAAGCAGATTTACAGCAGCATAAGTAACCAAGGTAAGTTGCATTGATGAGAAAACTTCTAACAAAAAATCATGCTTGATGAAACCTCCTTTTTCTAGGAGAGAACCCAAAGTGTGCTTGGGAATCTGCATGCAGAAACACAGTGTCTGGGCCTTTTAAGCCATGTGTGAAAATGTTTATTTTCATTAGAAGTGAAAAATGCAGACCTCCAGATACCCTCTATGATTTCCTGCCCCCCCCGCTCTCCAAAGGAGGAGGAGCCAGGGTGAGATGGAGACACAAACTCTGCTGTAGTCCTTGAGTCTAAATTAATGCTGTTATTTAAGGGCTGAATAAACATTAGGAATTAATGACTTCTGTGCACAGAAAGCCAGGGAGACTTGTGCTGACACCATCTACTTTGTGACCAAGAAAAAAGTTGTGTATCTCCAGGACTGCGGCCATCTGAGATGTTTCATCATTACTAAATTCATATGTGAAAAAAATAATTGATTAAAGTAAATTAAGTGCCAGAAAATTATTTTTATTTCATTGCCTGACACCAATACGTGGATTTGATTATTTGTTTTGGCCTTCTTTTAGGTTTTTTTGCATGGAGGAATAGAGTTAATGTGAAATTTCATCTTCGTTTGAAACACCCGACATCTTTATCAAATGATAAATAACATGGACTTTGGCTAGAAGTTCAGTATTTCATAATTTTGTCTGCAGAAACATTTTCCGTGGTAGATAAGGGAAAAGTGAGACACCAGAGCAATAAATTCATGCTCATCTTTGGAATAAAATAATAATTACTTGGGTAATACAATCTTTTTTATATTTATACATGTCAGGGAGCCTCCAGCTACAAACATAAGTTGACTGGAGTCTCGAATCCTAACGTCGTTACCCTTGAATATCCACGCTGGAGTGAGCGGGACCTTGCCTTAACGTGGGTTGATAAAAGTAGCCATTATAAACTGTGAAAGATTTGCAGAGGGGTGATAAACCCGCACAGGCGGGGCTGCACTCGCTCCTTACAGGCGTCTTGAAATTATTGTCGGGTGAGCTTAACTTCCAAAAATGCTTCAGAGATTTGATAGCGGAGAAGCCAGAGGATGCAGCTGCCAGCATGGTGATGCGGCGGTGGCTGCGTGCGGGGCCGGCCGGGGTGCGTGCCAGTGGGGCTACTGGGGGCTGAAGGAGCCCAGCTTGACTGATGGTGGTGGTCAGGGTCTAGGTGAGGGAGCACTTCATGTGGTCCACCTCTTACTTTGACGCCTCTGGGGATACCGAATGTCGCTTCAACAAACCGAGTCAGAGAAATCTGGGCTCTCGTATTCTCACGAATAAATAGTTCAAAATATTTTTAGAATCATACAGGTATAAACACACCTTTTCTTTTTATCTGTCGGAGGGGAGAGGACTGGTTTGAAAAGGTCATTGTCGGTGTACCCTACAGTTTGACTCTCCGCAATGTGTGCGGCTGTATTCTTCCATTTTACTGGTATGTTTGTATCCAGTGGACTGCTAGCTCAGTTTGGGCAGGCTTTTAATAGTAATTGGGAGGTGAGATTAAAGTGCCACCAGACAGGGTGTTAAGGAAGTACACCAGATCATGGGTGCTGAGCGGTCACTCTTTTTTATTTACAGTAGTACAATTTATGCATTTTTCACAACAGCTTGGCAGCCACACAATCCCCAATTTTTTATATTCACAAGCATGAAGACTTCATGGTGAAAGACAGCACCGTTTTCACCCAGAGTTACTCATCTGACAAGAGATTTCTTGTCTACTATGTGAAATTGTAGAAGCCCACAGCTGGCAACTATAAATTCCTGCCTTAATGGGTTATGTCAGACATGTAGCGCAGGGTGGTGGCTCTGCGGGGAGGGAACCTGAGACAGGACACCAAAAGGAGGAGTGTTTCCATACAGTGCTGGCGGTCAGGAAAGCATTTGTGTATTTGGCATGGGAAGGGGGCCCCGGGGCGTCCATCAGGCCCCTCTTCTTCAGGTCTCTGCAGGGAGGATGACACCCGTGGGAGAGGGGCACTGCAATAATGCAGAAATGGGTTCCCCAAGTACACAGGCCCTCGGTGGTCGCTCGCAGCGAGCGCCTGTAAAAGACTAGAACAAGGGAATGAGGTTTTGTTCTTGTTTGGCCTATTACAAGCTTAAAAGTTGTGTTACTGTCCAAAAACTTAACCGAACCAGTCAACAGTTGGATAGCGTGACTTATTTCTCATTTCAGAGTTGTCCAAATGTGATAGTTTTAACTCACAACAGATTGTTACTTAACTATAGTTTCCTTTTGCTGTCTAATTTCTGCTGAGATATCAGTTTGGATTGGTTTGCTGTTCATCTGCTATAGGCATTCACTATCAGTTGTCCCTGCTACTTCCAGACATTTTGAGAGTTTCTTGAATCTTTTTTCCTCCTCCTGTTTTTGTCTTTCCTTGTATTTCTGCATTATCACTTGCAGTCATGGTTTTGCCAAGGGGAGCTGTATGAAATACAGTAGCCTCCTCTCCTGCCCTTATTAGCGCCAACCCGTGCCATGCACGTAGTTAGTTATAGTGCTCCTCCTTTTTTCTAAGATGGGAAGGAGGGATATGCTAAGTGTTCTGTACATCTTTGTAACAAATAAGGGAGCTAGCAGTAATGTCTTCTGCTATTGATTTAATAATCTGTCCAAAGAAGTATAGCAAAGCCGGGGGGGGGGGGGGAGTTACTGATAGTTTGTGGTGTTAAGTTCTTGAAACATAAAACCAGGACTGGGCTCTGCCTCGAGCTGATGTGTTCAGTACAGAGAGAGGGTCTGCAGCATTCAGGAGGGGAAAAAATGCTTTATCTTGTTCGCACTAAAGTTTGCCAAGCCACTTCATGAATACTGTTATATCTGACAGGTCATCCCTAGCTTCAGCTGGTGCTTTTCCCTATTCAGACAGCGATTAGAAAATACTTCAGATAATTTAAACCATTAAAAGGCAGCTGATGTAGAAGAAATCTGTGATTCTGTGAAACACAGTTGAGAGTAGTCAGGAAATTAATCAAATTTACAGAACCGCTGGCATTTTGTCTTTTGAACCTTGTCATAATTCCTCTGAGTTCTGCTAGGAAATCAGAGGGGGAAATCCTAGTGTGGCTAAATTAAGAGAAGACTGTGAATTTTACCCCACAGCTGAATTGCGAGTGGTAGGCACTGTGTTGAAAGAATTGCCCCGTAGACTTGTATTTTTGATTAGCATTTCACATGAGCAAGGACTTCTGCTGCTGGGCATCCCTGGAACTGGCCAGCGAGAAGCTGCGTGCTCCTCGGGCTGCTTTCTCCTGGCCTTCTGGGAGTCCTGTCTGTCTTTCCACTTGCCGTGCTTCCCAGCAGTGAAAGAAGAATCACTTTATCAGGCTTTACAAGTGCGACATTACATGTGTTAAACCCCGTATCGGGACTTTGCCAGGGGTTGGTGTCAGCTGAACACTGCACTAGACCATTGCCAGAGCCGGCCAGAAGGGAACAGGAGAGGGGAACGCAGCTGCATTCCTGCTGCTGGAAATACCTGGAGATGCCCACAGCGGTCCGTGCTCTGTAAGGACGTGCATGTTTCAGAAGGTGGTTGCTGTCACAGGCAGCAAAAGCCCACGTTTTCCCCGCATCACTGAGGAGCGAGTGGGAGTTTGGCAATGGGAGCTTTGTCAGGTGATGCGTGCTGCATCGGCGCTTCCTGCGGTGCAGCTGCATGCCCTCCTGCAGTCTGCTTGTTTTGCAGCAATGTCCTCTGAAACATCAACTTTTGCATTTTTCAAACAGATGAATCAATGCTAGTGTGTCTCCGATGCACCAGGTTTATTTGCAGAACACATCTATAAGTTGAATTTTTTTCTGCTGTTTAAGTACCACCATTAAAATCGACCTATTGCAAGAAATTCTCTCCCTATTAACAGTAGAATTATGGCTACTAGCCAATACTGCCCTAATAGTATTTCCTGTTCAAAATTTGTATTTATGTCCAAAAAAGTGCTTTAAAAGCAAGTAAAATAAGTACCATGTTAATATAAGTGTTAGTGAAAATATCTAATCTAAAGTTTGTTGAAATTCAAAAGAAGCTTCTGAGAACATGGCAGAGGAAGGACTGTGTAATACACGTTGCCTATTTTTTGTTTGGGAAATACGTAAACATACAGAATTTGAAGTCCAGCTTGGGACAACTTGTAAAGTCATATTAATGTATGAGAACAAATGTAAGACTTGGATTACTTACTTAAGCTATTCTTTTTATCGTCCAGGTGACATTTTTTTAAACACACAAGAATTAAATCTACAGTTCTGGATTGGAACTTGTGTGATCTAGAACAGTTCATGTAAATTTTAGTTATTACAGAACCAATAAAACCTTCCTCTCTAGAACTCTTAAGAATAGGCACTGTCCTCATCTTTGCAAACAATTCTTCCTAAATGTAAAAAAATCTACTTTTTGTTGCAAATACTGGGGGGGTTTCCTCAGCCATTACATTGTTCAATTCAGTACCTTAGCAGTTCACCAGGTGGCTGTAGGGTTTATTTGCCTGCTGTCTTGTGGAGTTTGTTGTACATGTATTTCATGTAGGAATGATTCCTGGAGATAGAAAGCTTTTGCAGAGAACAACCACGAGCAGCTCCTTCCTCAGGATACTGGCCTCAATACTTTATCCCATTCTCAATATAATTATAGCCTCAAAATTGCAAAGTAGGAGCGGGAGATTATACAAACATTTGTAGGACTGAGAGGTGGGACTGAGAGAGAAAAAGTTAAATACATTGCCTGTACTGTGCTACAAAATGCGAGGAAAACCTCTGTGTTTCTTTTTTAACTGTAGTATTTTAATTTTAGGAGCAGGTCCCTGTTCCTGTTTATCACCCGACTCCTAGCCAGACTCGGCTAGCAACACAGTTGACAGAAGAGGAACAAATCAGAATAGCGCAGAGGATAGGCCTTATTCAGCATCTACCTAAAGGAGTCTATGATCCTGGAAGAGATGGCTCCGAGAAGAAGATCAGAGAGTAAGTTACAGAAACCAAACTGTGAACTAATATTCTGCCCTGGAAAACCTGATCTTGTCCTCCTGTTTTTGCCTTATTTTCAGGGACTGTAATTTAATGTAGCTTTCAGGAAAAAAAATGACCCTGCAAAAGGCTCTTTCTTTTATCCTCGCTTGTTTTCCTGTTACAGGTGAAACTTACTTTCCCAACCCATGTAATTCATGTCCTTACATGTGTTTTCTCCTCTTTATCCTCTCTTCGTGGGGAAATAATTTCCTGTTACTTCCTCACCTGTATGGCTCCCGTTTACCATTTCTAGTTTTATGCGCTCTGCGGAGCCATGCCCACAGAAGGCTTCCAGCCCTCACTGACATCGTAACCATGGGCACACACATAGACTACAAAGGAAGCACCAAAAAATCTAGTGCCTGGTGGAGCCAGCACTGACAGAGCTAAGAACTCCTCACAATATCAACAAGTACTAAAAGTTTGACTGACTCAAACATACCCAGGAGTATATATTGCACTACTTCTCATTTCTAGTGTGGTAACAGCAGCTTAAATATTTTTATGATTTTTTTTTTCCCCTAGATGTGTCATTTGTATGATGGACTTTGTTTATGGGGACCCTATCCGATTTCTGCCGTGCATGCACATTTACCACCTGGACTGTATAGATGACTGGTTGATGAGATCCTTTACCTGTCCATCCTGCATGGAGCCAGTGGATGCAGCACTGCTTTCATCATATGAGACTAACTGAGCCAGGGTTTCTCCACTGAACCTTTAAGGAGACCATCCACTTTAATGGGTTTGATCCTTTTGTCATTCAGCCCAAAGAGCCGGGAATTAGGAATTAAGATCATGCACAAAGTATACATTTCCTAATAAATAAATAAAAAATATTCCTGAATGGCTGCAAATATTGGAAAAAACATAGTATTTTAGAGACTATAGAAAAGTAGGTTGTTATTTTTAATGTAAAGCCTTGACCCACCATTGTCTTTTAATGTTTGTTCTTACACCCATATATAGGAATTGTGTAAAGTGTTACAGCAACTGTAAGTGTTTAAACTGCGTGTATCCAATTTTATTAGCAGCAAGATAAGAGTATTTTTTTCCTAAATAAAGTAACCAGTTTTGTTCTGATTCTTTTCACAAGTCCTGGCATTTGGGTCAAGGCTTTATTGAAATCTACATTTTATAACACTGGCACAAAGAAATAGTTTTAAGCTTGTTTGCACAGTTCTTTTTTTTTTTTTTTTTTTTGTCCATTGGAGATGGAATTCATTGCCTTAGGTCTTTTTAATAGTGTATTGTTATTGTTGGGCTGGCTCTATGCTTGAAAACCAGTTTATTTATAACCTGTTAAAAGTGCTATATTTTGTTTGCAGTTAGGAATATGCAGACTTCAAAGTGATCTCCTAGCTTGTAAGCAAACTGAGATGCATTATCCCTTTTCTACAAGTGATGCAGAATATGAAGATATGAAACAGTCCTACAGTGAAATTACGGTTTCATGGTTTTTATAACTTGCTTTGGTTTTAATGAAACAACAGTCCTTAAACTTTAATATGTCACCTTTAACTTGATCAGGTTAAAAGTGGGCCAGATGGACAATAAATAGTTAAACTACCCTGACTGAAAAAAGAAAAAAATTTGGAACTACTGTAGTGGTAGTGTTGATCATTTACTTATTCTATTTTTTTTTTCTCCCTAAAAATGGTTGTCTTGGATCATAGCAAATGGATACTGCATCTCTCGTTCTTGTAGTTCTTAGGTTATCAGAAGTTAAGAATAAACATACTGTATCTCAGTCTCCTGTATTAAATGTATCTGTTAAGCCCTGCTGGCTGACACATCAGTCCACCAAACAGATATGAAATCAGATATAAGAAAAATATATTTTGTTCTGCACGTAAATGCAAAGTTTATAGAAACACCGACTGTCATACTAGCAGTTGAGGGGGAAAACAGTACTGCTATAGCCAGAATGACACAATTAGCTAATTTCTGTAGCAAACAGTATGTGCTTGTTAAGAGATGGTCTAGCAAAGATTGTAGCTGTAAGGACCTTTTATCCACTTAGGATGATTTTTCTTTTATCTTTTTTTTTTCTTTCCTTCCTTAATGTACCCTACTGTGACTTTTATACATTCAACGCAATGCTGATACATTGAGAAGTCCTGGTCTTGCAAAATGAGATGCAATCTCAAGTTAACCACAACAAATCAGGGAACATTCTTGACTGTTTTTCATACATAGTTTGAGTACTTGATACAAGTTGTGTTTAAAGACCCAAGTACTTTGAAGACTTAGTGTATTTACAATATAGAATTGTGCATGTTATGAATAATTTTTGAAGGGTTGGTCAGCAAAATGTAGAATCAACATGTTGATTTATTTATTATTCCTGCAGCTGACAGCAACCTGCTCTCTTAGAGAAGAACTCCAAGTAGCAGTCAGAAGGAATTGAAAGCAGTCTACAGTTCTAGATTCACTCAGATTGCTACACATTTATCTGGACACAATTTTTTGCTGAATTCATACATACCTAATTACATGGATCAAAATCTGGGAAGAGAGACCTGAAGTTGTGCAATATCATTGTTCCTTTTCATCATTCCATGTGTGTTCTTTTGTGTCCTCCTTCTTGTTTGTTTGTTTTGGGGGGTTGGTTTCTTTCTTTCTTTTTTTTTTTTTTGGTAAAACTATGTCCACGTTAAGTATTCATTCCTTTTCTTTATCTTGTTAAAACTGGCAAATGAACAATTTGAAAAAACAGCATTGTCATGTTGGTACTAGTCTTTATTTATTACAAGACTTGATTAAGAAAGATTTGAAGGAAAGATGAAGTGACCAATTACTGAGCTGAATGCTTTTCTAGGCACTTTGTATAGTTGAACTTTTAACACTGATATACTTACCGGGCTAAGGGAAGAAATTACTTTTATTAAAATACTTGTTAAATAGCAAAAAGGTGCGAAGGGCTAAAACTAGAGTTGAATACACAAAAAAACATTCCAAAAAGCTCAAATTTTAGCTGAAAGACAAATGTGTAAATATAACAAATAAATCAAATGATTTTTCAAGTTTTTAGGTGCAATGCTGTTATGGATGATTTCTAGTTCAAAAAAGTAATTGATCTGAATTTAACACAGAATAATGTGTAACCTGAATTTTAGCTACAGTTGTGAAACCAGATCTGTGTCTTAATTCCACCATCTGTAAGATGAAGATAATATTTGCCTCCTGTCTCAGAGGTGTCTAATAAATTACTTATACTTCAAACATATTAGACATTCCAGTTAAAGCACAGCTGTTTGTCTCCTAACCAGAGTCTGCTGCAGCTCAGTGAGTGGAAAGGGCTGGCTCTTATTCATCTGGACCTGTTCAACCATAGCCCTTCTTATGCCAGGGCTGTGTGTTTCAGGGGGGGACAGGCCCATAGTAAAACGTCTGCAAAGCAATTTGAAGGAAAAAAATACTCTTACAGCTACTTTGTGTAAGTAACCAAGTCTGTAGGTGCACCAACAGTGATCAAAAAGTGTTGCTTTAAAGCATTTTGTAGGGACTATGCAGTACGATGAAAACATTCAGTACAACAAGACTGTTTGTACTTTAGAACTGTAACTGGCAAAACAACCCCGGCACAGACCCAGAAATAGCTGAGTGGATCGTCAGGCTCAATCCTCAGCAATTTCAGGCAACAGCACACGAGACATTAAAAGTCCACGTGCCCCTAGTCATTGACAGACACCACAGCCTCCCATAGCAACCTGCTATCCCATTTAAAGACTAAGAGCTGCCCCAGCAGTGCCACAGAAACAGAGCAGGTAGGGACCAAGGGCATCGCCAACATCCAAGATGCTTGCACAGCAGGGAAGTTGTTAGGTTACGGTTGCAGATTATAGTAGGAAATGGATTTTGTCTCACAACAGAAGAAAACAAAATTCCCACAAATCTGAAGCAAGAGAGATGCAATGACAAGTCGTCAATACTTAGTTTTATAAAGACCTTTATATGCTTAAAAATTCTTGCACACTACTGGAATTACCATTTGAATCATTTTACATCTGAGGATGATAATCCTTACTACCTGTTGCTGGTTCATTATCTAAATCTGGGAGAGAATCATAAAACTTGTACATAAACAACAACAAAAAAGCCTAAAGAGTTTCTTTGTGAGGAGCTAGTGTTGTAGAAGGGCTTTAACCACGTAAGGTTTTTAAAAGTTCCTACTGTCTTGCAGCTTCCCAAGGCTGAAAGCAACTACGTGTTTGGAAGGCTGGCAGTCCTCTCTTTGCAATGGCAGAAGCGTACATTTCTAGGCTAAAGGATTATGAAATACCTGAACTTACTTAGATTGCCACAGTTTCAAGACTTCGACATTTCCTGTCCTTGTGCAATCGTGGTAAAGATGAAAATTCTTGAGTCAGACTGTCAGTTAAATAAATAACAAGATGGCTGAAACCAAACATACAAGCCCTCTTCTCAGTTAAATCCTGGATTAAAATGGACTTAGAAACAAAGTGGATGCTAGTTGATTACAAAAAGTTTATTACAGACACTACATTTTTATTAAAAACATACATACTAGTTGATAACCTACAAAAAACCATGAATAAAATCTGTTCAGAAGAGGCCTTCTTGACTTAATACCCAGAGTAAAAATTAGCTTCAAGGATTAACTTTTCCTTTTATACAGCATTTAACTTTGAAGAATATAATTTATGCTAACCACCCTTTGCAAATTATCTTGCATTTAAACCTGTTCTGGGATAAGAGTTAGGGGATTTGGAATTCTTGGTATGAAATGCAAATTTAATGCCTTTTGATAAAAAGAACAGTCTAAACATACTCTGCAAAAGCATCTTTTTGATTTAAGCAGAAGAAATAACTGTATTTGCATGCTAGCAACTGATTTATTACAATATCCACCCTGCACTGACACTTAGCTAAGTAAAAGCTGCAGAGAGGAATCTATAATGAAAAAAATATTTGTGAAAATGCCTGTACATGTTCCTAGCAGCACAAAGGTACGTACTTACTCAGCAAGAGGGGACCAACCATACCACAAAGAAACAAAAAGCCCCCAAACTTTCTCTGTCCTCTCAGTTGGAAAACAAGTAGCAATAACTTCATAAACCTATTCTTTGCAGCACCAACCCCTAGAAAATATTTGTCTTTATTTTAAATAAGGCATTTCAACAACAACTCCGCACACGACAGTAAATGTTCAATTCACTGCACATACTACGTGCACCTGGGCTGTCCGCACCAGACATTTTTCCTGGACACAACAGGCCCTGCTTTTGCTCACTAGAAGCGCTTGTGCCAGGGTTCTCACTGCAGACAGACATGACAAACGTCTACCTTTTTAGCATCTTTTTCCTACCCTTCTGCCACATTAGTGGTAGCTTGTCTAATCAAGAATTCACACTGGGTAAGCAGACTGAGGGAGACAGACAAGCAGAAATTCAAGGGGAAAAAGATGAATTGCTCTAAACCTCTGTTTTCTGAGCAGGACAGCGCCGTCCCAGGTGCTGTCCCACTGAGGCAGAGCTCTGTTTCCAGAGTGAAAACTGTCTGATGCCCTTGAGCTCTCCAGCCTAAAACTGCTTTTTCGTGAGGTTACTTCACTGAAGGGCTCTTGCTAGATTGCCTGTTTGTTTTGGGATTTCTCCCTGTAGAAGGCTATGTACTGCACGCTCTGTTTCCTTTACAATCCCACAACAAACCACTAGTAAAGGCCCTTAACCTCCTTGCATTTTCCTCAGCCGTCATCTGAAAAAGTATCAAAGCTTTTTTTAAAAAAAAGTATCTCACTTTTTTTTTTAAGTGTCGATTGAATAGTTCAAACAGTTCTGATAACTTTTCAAAAAGCTTTGGCTACAGAGCCTGCTAGTGGTGCGCGTGAATATACATACATAGACTTCTTGTGTTATTATTGATAAATACTTTATATTTATGTGTGTGCATGTGTGACAGATCACACACTTTCAATAGACATGTAGCAAAGGCACCACACATGAGATTCCTGCTGCTCCTTAGAAATACCAAGAATTATTTGCATCAGCAATGAGCCCAGCATCACAGAATGGAAACCTGACCCAGGACCCAGGTATCCACAAGCCGTAAGAATGAAAGCCAAAGCACATTTTTCCCAATGAGAACAATCAGCCATTGGAATAATCTCCTTGGGGAAGTGGTGGGTTCCCCAGCATTGGACACTCCTAAGATTCAGCTGGACAGGGTGCGGGGCCATCTCGTCTAGACTGTGCTTTTGCCAAGAAAGGTTGGACCAGATGATCCTTAAGGTCCCTTCCAACCTAGTATTCTATGATTGAAATACCAAAACTGTAACTGGCCCTGCGGGTTGCTTCTAAAAAAAACTTTGCAGCTGCCCAACAGAGGCTATGTAACCTTGGTAGTGATGACAGCAGTACTGGGTACTGCACCCAAATGAAGACGACATTGAACATGATCCATATATTGTATCTTCTAGAGTTAAACAACATTGCTTCACCTCCCTAGAATAATTTACTGAACTCTGCTAACTGTCAGAGATAAAGTTATTATTCTGCATCTTTGGACAGTAGGAACAGAGACAGTCTTCAGGCATCTCAAACCACCACCTCTACCAAAACATCAGGAAAAGCACCACATTCAAACAAAACCCCAGCTCATCCTAGAACTGCACCTATGGCACTATCAACACCAAACACAGCCCCTGTGGCTCCAGCATTGCAGACAAACATCCTACACAGCTCCAGTGCTAAGGAAGTCATTCCTTACCTCCACACCCTGTCTGCTGT